CCCAAAGTTCATATATCAAAGTACTCTTAAAATTCACTATATAATATGAAATATATTAACAATACGAATAATATACGAATCGCCGTGCCGATCAAAACACGTTTCTCACGTGTACTTACCAATAGATTCGACACGGGAAGAGAAATAAACTTTTTCGGTCAATCAAAGTCGTCCGCTATTGGACAATAGCGGATGACTTTAAACAGTTCCCGTGCGGTTATTATAAACATTTCGAAAAAAATTTATTAGAAAGATCGCTTCAGAATAATGTATCCTACAACCTTATAATGCTCTGATGCGGAAGATACCGGGCACCCTGTATATAGATATAACAATAAATTATAATAACAACAGATTACTATTTTTAATCAATATTACATGAACTGCCCATGCTCTGCTGTTAACCGTATCAGATTCTCGATTTTTGGGTGGCAGTTTATCTCTCCAAAGGATTTGAATGACCTTTTATCGAGCAAAGTATTAATGTTCGTTAAGAGCGACTGCACGGTAAAATTTGATAACAATATCTATCGGAGTGCAATAGATCCTTAGGTATCTATACCTTGCTCCGCGAGGTTGGTTAGTCCGCTTATCCCATATGCAATCTATGTAATGGAATGTCATATATATTGTTATTATCGTATTGTTAATATATTTCATATTATATAATACTCCTAACAATAAATAAATTATTTTGTCATCACTATGCCATCACTATGCCATTATTTTTGAATTTATTTAATATTTGTTAATAATCATTAAAAATAATGATTATCATCAACAATGAAAAAATAAAAAAAAAATAAAGCGAACAGCAGGGATTGAATCTGCGACCTTGGGCATCCAAAGCCCCACTCACGCCGTTCGGCTAATCGGCATTATGAACGAAGATACAATTTATCGCATTTCTATAGTTGCGAAATATTTTGAAAATTTTGAAATCGATTTTCTCGGATATTTTCCAGCATGGGATCGAACTGCTTCAGGAAAATGATGTCCGAGTACTGATCTTCAATCCCTATAAATATGAACAAAATCGGTGATGACGAACCCGTAAGGTCCCCTCGTTAGATATGACCAAAACTGTTTAGCGTCAGCAGCAACAGAGTCCTGAACATGAATCATATAATCTTTGTGATCACGCGCTATAAGACATTTAGAACGATGTCTCAGCATTGAAAAGGTGCGGTAGTTAAGCTGATTTTTGTATCGTTTTCACCTTCTATGTACAGGTGTCCCAATTTCGATGCCCGCATAGGCTATCTCCGAAACTAAAAGAGATAGATAAAAAGTAGCTTACATGTCATGATCTCGTTTTTCGAGAAAATACTAATGCCGAACAGCTATCGTCTTTTGTTTTCGCCCTATCGACAAAAACTGAAAATTTTGCGAAAACGACAATCGCGAACATCTTACTTATTATCAAAGATGGAGTATTATAAATAAAACATTATATGGGCAACTTTTTACGAAGAATTCAGTGGCGTAGGTAGAATTTCTTTCCCATCTTTTATTTTCGAGATTTTAGACGTAACTTCATTTTTTTAAATGGAAACCATAGTTGGCTATGACCTAAAATAATTTGTTATTTTCTTCTAATAACAAATATGTATAGTTTGTGGGGTATATTTCTTATAGTTATTGAATAATTAAGAAAAATTCATTTTGTTCTATCTAAAACTAATGTATGTATTTAAAAGTTAATGTTGCTATGGTGATAACCATACATACTATGATGGAACATAATGTATCAATTTTTTGTATCAATTGTATCGGGGGTGTTGATGGGAAATACATCCATATGCAAGCACCAAAAGCATCGAGAAGTGAGTTCTTCAATTATAAACATACCTTCAGCATTGTTTTAATGGTACTTAAAAGTCAAGTTTTAGTGGCATGTGTAGATGCGGATTATAATTTCATTATAGCAGATATTGGAGCTAGTGACAGAAATGATGACAATACTATCTTTAAAGAATCTTCTTTCGGGTTTTTTTAAATGGAAACGTAGATATCCCTTTTCCAAAGAAATTGCCTAGAAGCGACATTATACTTCTACATTTTGTTGTGGGTGATGCTGCGTTTCCTCTAAGAGAAAATATAATGAGACTATATCCCGGACAGCAGGTAGGACTAGAAAAAAACATTTTCAACTATCGTTTATCCAGGGTAAGGAGGACCGTTGAAAATGCCTTTGGTATACTGTGCCAGCGGTGGCGAATTCTACGGAGGCCAATTATAGCTAGGGTAGACGTAGTAGAAAATATTGTAAAAGCCACAGTAGTTTTACATCACTTCCTTCGTATTGAACGGCAAAGCGAAAGGTACTGTCCTCCAAGATATGGTGATACTATTCAGTCAGAGTCAGGGGAAATTATAAATGGTCAGTGCGACCAATGCCACTGCAAAATATAGGACGGGTTGGGAGCAACAATGCGGCAAAAAGGTTCCAGAAGAACAGAGACTTGTGTGAATATTTTAACGGTATTGGAAGTGTAACATGGAAATATGACCATGTATCGCGCAAAAATATTCATAAATAATGTTTTTGTATTTAATTTCAAAACAAGAGATAAATAAAAATAACTCTATTAATTTTGAGTCAATTTGGTCCGCATTTGATTCCATCGAAATAATTGTCGAAACAGTAACGCACAACAACCTTAATACAATAAAATACAAAACCTAACTGACCTAACCTCAATTTATAAAATAAAACAAAACACTGCTATATTACAAGGACACAAAAGAGAAAAGTGCGCATGCGTCACGTTACGACCGATTGTTTTAGCTTTAAGAAGTTAAAAGTTGGGCAACTCTTGGGACTAGGACAAAAACCATTTTAGTCGTAAGGTGTTGCATAAACAGTACTAGTATAACACAATACCTAACTTTCCACTCTTACGACTATGCCAACAACTACGACTAAAACAGGTTGCATGAACCCACCTTCACAGTGCTAGTGTAAAACTAGAACTAACACTAAACCTAGAAGGTCTAGTGTTAGTTCTAGTTTTAATTGTTATGCAGTGCTAGACCTAGAACTAGAATCATTTGGAAGAGTCGTACGTCTCTTAAGACGGCTAAACCTAAATGATTCTAGTTCTAGGTCTAATGTTAGTTCTAGTGACAGTGTAAGTGTAAAACTAGAACTAACACTATACCTAGAACTAGAATCATTCAGGTTTAGCCGTCTTTAGAGACGTGTGGCTAAACCCAAATGATTTTAGTTCTAGGTCTAGTGTTAATTCTAATTTTAATTGTTATTAAGCGCTAGATTGTTGTATATTCTTATTGAAGTAGTTAAAAGGTTAAATATACGTATTAGAAAAGTACGTATATTAGATTATGGTAGAACAAGAATCATTTGGGTTTAGCCGTCTTAAGAGACGTGAACCAGAAGTGACACTAGTGGTATTCCGCCAAATCTTTACCACTGTCACCAAGTACGAATTGAGCGCCGTTCAATCTGCTTGGCCATTGGTCGTCAACCCGACCTACGGATCGGACGGTCGCCAACCAACCACAACGCCCGGTTGATAGGGTTTTACCCAAGGGCGCCTATTTAAGGCGGCCGGGTTTCCATCAGCGGTCAATTCCAACCGAANACCTAACTGACCTAACCTCAATTTATAAAATAAAACAAAACACTGCTATATTACAAGGACACAAAAGAAAAAAGTGCGCATGCGTCACGTTACGACCGATTGTTTTAGCTTTAAGAAGTTAAAAGTTGGGCAACTCTTGGGACTAGGACAAAAACCATTTTAGTCGTAAGGTGTTGCATAAACAGTACTAGTATAACACAATACCTAACTTTCCACTCTTACGACTATGCCAACAACTACGACTAAAACAGGTTGCATGAACCCACCTTCACAGTGCTAGTGTAAAACTAGAACTAACACTAAACCTAGAAGGTCTAGTGTTAGTTCTAGTTTTAATTGTTATGCAGTGCTAGACCTAGAACTAGAATCATTTGGAAGAGTCGTACGTCTCTTAAGACGGCTAAACCTAAATGATTCTAGTTCTAGGTCTAATGTTAGTTCTAGTGACAGTGTAAGTGTAAAACTAGAACTAACACTATACCTAGAACTAGAATCATTCAGGTTTAGCCGTCTTTAGAGACGTGTGGCTAAACCCAAATGATTTTAGTTCTAGGTCTAGTGTTAATTCTAATTTTAATTGTTATTAAGCGCTAGATTGTTGTATATTCTTATTGAAGTAGTTAAAAGGTTAAATATACGTATTAGAAAAGTACGTATATTAGATTATGGTAGAACAAGAATCATTTGGGTTTAGCCGTCTTAAGAGACGTGAACCAGAAGTGACACTAGTGGTATTCCGCCAAATCTTTACCACTGTCACCAAGTACGAATTGAGCGCCGTTCAATCTGCTTGGCCATTGGTCGTCAACCCGACCTACGGATCGGACGGTCGCCAACCAACCACAACGCCCGGTTGATAGAGTTTTACCCAAGGGCGCCTATTTAAGGCGGCCGGGTTTCCATCAGCGGTCAATTCCAACCGAACTCCGAAGCGACAACAGCAGCGACAACAAGCCAGCACTTCAACCGCCAATTCGAAGACGACCCCTTTCGTCTTAAAAAAACCTTTGAGGGTTTTTTTTTTGTACATATTTTTGTAAATAAATTATTTCGTTTTATTCAACAACTGTTGTTTCTTCTTCGGCGCAATCCATCCCCCGTAACACCACCAATAGCAACATACTTTGGTAACTCGCTATAATATGGCGCCAGATTTGGCGGAATACTGCCACTGTCACTTCTAGTTATTCTGTGCCCTAACAGTGTATCAATCCTTATTTAAATTTCATACAAACACCTCATACAGAGTTAATCATATCTACATCATTTTTTTTTTATTTTTTAGGCATTAATCCTGATTTCAACATCCATTTTAGCCGAATTTAACGGTAAGTTTAACGACAAATTCAATTTATTAACTTCCTTTTCAATCAACAAAAAAAAGAAATAAAATCCACTAAATAATCGTTTATTAAACCCCATTCCTCTGCTTACATTTTAACCTTCTAATTGTAAACAAAACAATAAGTCCTTTATAAAAAGTACTAAACACTAAAACAGTTAGTTTTTTTTTCCGATAAATCAATTCTTACTGGGTATATACAAATCAAGCGTAATTAAATGAGAAATGCAAATAATAATAAATATAAATCAAAAAAAAATTAAATAAAATCGTTTTAACCTAATTCGGCTAAAACCGAATCTAAATCTTCTTGTAACGCCATCGTAAGATCTTTTTGTTTGTTAAGATCGTCTTGTAGCCTCTCGACGTTCGCTTTTAACATTAAATTTCCTTTTTTCAACGCGGCCAACATGTTTTCGTGTCGTTTAACGCGGTGGGATAGATTATTTTTGACTTTGTCGGTTGGGGCGTCTTCCGGTTCGCTGTGAGATGCTTCCGAATCGGTTTCCGATTCTTCGGAGGATTCGGATTCGCTCGATTCACTTTCTTCGCTTTCACTCGCACTCTCTTCTTTGCTTTCTTCGTCTTCGTCTTGATCCGAATCGTCTTCGTCTTCATCTTCGCTCGATTCTTTCATTAATTTCGCCATTTTGTCGACTTCTTTTTGTAAGGCTTTGTATTTTTTCTTTTCTTCTTTGATGCATTTTTGGTGGGTTTTGACTTGTTCTTTTAATGCGACTCGCTCTTTTTTGGCGTTGTCTCGTTTGTTTTTGCAGCTGCGTAGTTTGTTTCTAAACATTTTTACTTCGCGTTGAGCGCGACGTTCGCGTTTTTCTTCGTTGTCGCTTCCTTCTGATTCGGATTCGGAGACTTCGTAAATTTCTTCTTCTTCTTGGTCGTTGTTGATTTGTGGGATTGATTGGCGTTTTCCGGTTAAGTATTCTTGGAGTTTTCGTTCGAGTTCGCGATTTTGTTTTTTGGCTTCTTCGAGTTCGGTTTTTTTCGTGTCTAATTCTTCGGTTGCTTGCGAATATTTCTTTTCCAGTTCTTCGCTCGTTTTGCGCGCTTCTTGGGCTTCTTGTTTTAGACTTGTTATTAATTTTTGATCTGCTTCTGAATTTGTTGAACTATTTATCACTCCTCCACCCTCATTTCTGGTTTCGTGCTTCTCTAATTCCGCTTCTAATTGTTGGATTTTCGCCAATAACTTTTTATTCTCTCGTATTTGAGCCTCTTTATTCCTCATCTCAAACGCTAATAACTGCTTTGTACTTTGCAAATCATCCCTAACTTTATCAATATCATCCATTTCATCAGACTCATCTGGTACATCTTCCTAAAAATCAATTTAATCAAAACCAAAAATAAATTTTTTTTTGTACTTACAGGTGGTATGCTGGCCATCGATTGCGACTTAATAATTTGCTCCTCAATCGTCATTTGCCGCCTAAACTTCCTCAACCCATCCAGAATCGGTTTCGAGCGATCATTAGTCTTAACTTTCTTCAATTTGACTCCTTGCTCGATTTGCTTCAACAAATCGTGATGTGGATCATTTTTCTGGTGATTCTCACTCTCAAAAATGAATTGGCCCTTTGATTTCACTTTGGGGAGGAGTGGTTTCGATCTGTCGTTGCATTCCACGTGCTTCAATCGGGCTCCTTTTTCTAAATCTTTCAACATTTGGGTCCAATCTGGACGATGTTTTGGTCTTTGCCTAAAAAAAATAAATAAATAGAGTCCCAAACATTGCCAAAAAGTGTCTAAACTTAGTTTAGTGATTTATAAAGATGTCCAGATGAATTCCAAAGATGTCAAAACTACTTAGGTGTTGTCTAAGAATTTCCTAAGGTGTCCAAAATTGACCAAAAAATGTCTAAACTTATTTTGGTAATTTATAAAAATGTCCAGATGAATTCCAAAGATGTCAAAACTACTCAGGAGTTTTCTAAGGATTTCTTTCTAAGCTATCCAAAATTGTCCAAAATTACTCAAAAGATATCTAAATGTTTTTTTAGCAATTAGAGGATTTTCAAAGATATCAAAAACAGAACTAAGGATTTCCAAAGTAAGAGAAATATTTTTATGAATACTCAAAAGTTACCAGAAGGTATCTAAGCTTATTTTAGCAATTTATAGAAATATCCAGAGGATTTCCAAACATGTCAAAACTACTCGGGGGTTTTTCTAACGGTTCCCTAAGTTATCCAGATATTTTTATGAACATATCCAAAATTGATAAAAGATTGTTTTTAAGATTACTAAGAGCTTTCCAGAAAATTTTCAACAAGTCTAACAATCTTGGAAACTTTACCGACATTCTCCTAAACTTTCCAACTTTCTAAAATGGTCAAAAAGTGTCTACACATTTTCTAGGAATTATTAAACATTTGCAGATGTTATAAAGATGTCAAAAAATATATCATCCTTTCTAAGGATTTCGTAAGTGATATTTTTTGTGAATATCCAAAGTTGTCAAAAAATGTCAAAACGCTTTTTAAGATTATTGAGAGCTTTCCAGAAAATTTTCAACAAGTCTAACAATTTTGGAAACTTTAGTGATATTCGTCCAAACTTTCCAGATGTTTTCATGGTTATCTAAAATGGTCAAAAAGTGTCTAAACATTTTCTAGGAATTTTTAAACATTTGCAAATGTTTCAAAGATGTCAAAAAATATATCAGCCTTTCTAAGGATTTCGTAAGTGATATTTTCTGTGAATATCCAAAGTTATCAAAAAATGTCAAAACGTTTTTTAAGATTATTGAGAGCTTTCCAGAAAATTTTCAACAAGTCTAATAATCTTGGAAGCTTTACCAACATTCTCCTAAGGTTTCCAGATGTTTTCATGTCATCTAAAATGGTCAAAAAATGTCTAAACATTTTCTAGGAATTTTTAAACATTTGCAGATGTTTTAAAGATGTCAAAAAATATATCATCCTTTCTAAGGATTTCGTAAGTTATATTTTTTGTGAATATCCAAAGTTGTCAAAAAATGTGAATACGTTTTTTAAGATTATTGAGAGCTTTCCAAAAAATTTTCGACAAGTCTAACAATCTTGGCAGCTTTACCAACATTCTCCTAAGCTTTCCAGATATTTTCATGGTTATCTAAAATGGTCAAAAAGTGTCTAAACATTTTCAAGAAATTTTTAATCATTTGCAGATGTTTTAAAAATATCAAAAAATATATCAGCCTTTCTAAGGATTTCGTAAATGATATTTTTTGTGACTATCCAAAGTTGTGAAAAAATGCCAAAACGTTTTTTAAGATTATTGAGAGCTTTCCAGAAAATTTTCAACAAGTCCAACAATCTTGGAAGCTTTACTGACATTCGCCCAGACTTTCCAGATGTTTTCATGGTTATCTAAAACGGCCAAAAAATGTCTAAACATTTTCTAGGAATTTTTAAACATTTGCAGATGTTTTAAAGATATCAAAAAAATATATCAGCCTTTTTCTAACGATTTCGTAAGTGATATTTTTTGTGAATATCCAAAGTTGTCAAATAATGTCAAAACGTTTTTTAAGATTATTGAGAGCTTTCCAGAAAATTTTCAACATGTCTAACAATCTTGGAAGCTTTACCAACATTCTCCTAAGTTTTCCAGATGTTTTCATGTCATCTAAAATGGTCAAAAAGTCTAAACATTTTCTAGGAATTTTTAAACATTTGCAAATGTTTCAAAGATGCCAAAAAATATATCAGCCTTTCTAAGGATTTCGTAAGTAATATTTTTTGTGACTATCCAAAGTTGTCAAAAAATGTGAAAACGTTTTTTAAGATTATTGAGAGCTTTCCAGAAAATTTTCAACAAGTCCAACAATCTTGGAAGCTTTACCAACATTCTCCTAAGCTTTCCAGATGTTTTCATGTCATCTAAGATGTTCAATAAGTATGTAAACATTTTCTAGGAATTTTTAAACATTTGCAAATGTTTCAAACATGTCAAAAAATATATCATCCTTTCTAAGGATTTCGTAAATAATTTTTTTTTGTGAATATCCAAAGTTGCCAAAAAATGTCAAAACGTTTTTTAAGATTATTGAGAGCTTTCCAGAAAATTTTCAACAAGTCTAACAATCTTGGCAGCTTTACCAACATTCTCTTAAGCTTTCCAGATGTTTCCATGTCATCTAAAATGGTCAAAAAGTGTCTAAACATTTTCTAGGAATTTTTAAACATTTGCAGATGTTTTAAAGATGTCAAAAAATATATCATCCTTTCTAAGGATTTCGTAAGTAATATTTTTTGTGAATATCCAAAGTTGTCAAAAAATGTCAAAACGTTTTTTAAGATTTTTGAGAGCTTTCAAGAAAATTTTCAACAAGTCTAACAATCTCGGCAGCTTTACCAACATTCTTCTAAGCTTTACAGATGTTTTCATGTCATCTGAAATGGTCAAAATGTGTCTAAACATTTTCTAAAAATTTTTAAACATTTGCAGATGTTTTAAAGATGTCAAAAAATATATCATCCTTGCTAAGGATTTCGTAAGTGATATTTTTTGTGAATATCCAAAGTTGTGAAAAAATGTGAAAAATTTTTTTAAGATTATTGAGAGCTTTCCAGAAAATTTTCAACAAGTCTAACGATCTTGGAAGCTTTACCGAAATTCTCCTTAACTTTCCAGATGTTTCCATGTCATCTAAAATGGTCAAAAAGTGTCCAAACATTTTTTAGTAATTTTTAAACATTTGCAGATGTTTTGAAGATGTCAAAAAATATATCACCCTTTCTAAGGATTTCGTAAGTTATATTTTTTGTGAATATCCAAAGTTGTCAAAAAATGTCAAAATGTTTTTTAAGATTATTGAGAGCTTTCCAGAAAATTTCCAACAAGTCTAACAATCTTGGAAGCTTTACTGACATTCGCCCAGACTTTCCAGATGTTTTCATGGTTATCTAAAACGGTCAAAAAGTGTCTAAACATTTTCTAGGAATTTTTAAACATTTGTAGATGTTTTAAAGATATCAAAAAAATATATCATCCATTCTAAGGATTTCGTAAGTAATATTTTTTGTGAATATCCAAAGTTGTCAAAAAATGTCAAAACGTTTTTTAAGATTTTTGAGAGCTTTCAAGAAAATTTTCAACAAGTCTAACAATCTTGGAAGCTTTACCAACATTCTCCTAAGTTTTCCAGATGTTTTCATGTCATCTAAAATGATCAAAAAGTCTAAACATTTTCTAGGAATTTTTAAACATTTGCAAATGTTTCAAAGATGCCAAAAAATATATCAGCCTTTCTAAGGATTTCGTAAGTAATATTTTTTGTGACTATCCAAAGTTGTCAAAAAATGTGAAAACGTTTTTTAAGATTATTGAGAGCTTTCCAGAAAATTTTCAACAAGTCCAACAATCTTGGAAGCTTTACCAACATTCTCCTAAGCTTTCCAGATGTTTTCATGTCATCTAAGATGTTCAATAAGTATGTAAACATTTTCTAGGAATTTTTAAACATTTGCAAATGTTTCAAACATGTCAAAAAATATATCATCCTTTCTAAGGATTTCGTAAATAATTTTTTTTTGTGAATATCCAAAGTTGCCAAAAAATGTCAAAACGTTTTTTAAGATTATTGAGAGCTTTCCAGAAAGTTTTCAACAAGTCTAACAATCTTGGCAGCTTTACCAACATTCTCTTAAGCTTTCCAGATGTTTCCATGTCATCTAAAATGGTCAAAAAGTGTCTAAACATTTTCTAGGAATTTTTAAACATTTGCAGATGTTTTAAAGATGTCAAAAAATATATCATCCTTTCTAAGGATTTCGTAAGTAATATTTTTTGTGAATATCCAAAGTTGTCAAAAAATGTCAAAGCGCTTTTTAAGATTGTTGAGAGCTTTCCAGAAAATTTTCAACAAGTCTAACAATCTTGAAAGCTTTACCAACATTCTCCTAAGCTTTCCAGATGTTTTCATGGTTATCTAAAATGGTCAAAAAGTGTCGAAACATTTTCTAGGAATTATTAAACATTTGCAGATGTTTTAAAGATGTCAAAAAATATATTATCCTTTCTAAGGATTTCGTAAGTTATATTTTTTGTGAATATCCAAAGTTGTCAAAAAATGTCAAAATGTTTTTTAAGATTATTGAGAGCTTTCCAGAAAATTTCCAACAAGTCTAACAATCTTGGAAGCTTTACCAACATTCTCCTAAGCTTTCCAGATGTTTTCATGTCATCTAAAATGGTCAAAAAGTGTCTAAACATTTTCTAGTGATTTTTAAACATTTGCAGATGTTTTAAAGGTGTCAAAAAATATATGATCCTTTCTAAGGATTTCGTAAGTAATATTTTTTGTGAATATCCAAAATTGCCAAAAAATGTCAAAACGTTTTTTAAGATTATTGAGAGCTTTCCAGAAAGTTTTCAACAAGTCTAACAATCTTGGAAGCTTTACCAACATTCTCTTAAGCTTGTTTTCGTGTCATCTAAAATGGTCAAAAGGTGTCTAAACATTTTCTAGAAATTTTTAAACATTTGCAAATGTTTTAAAAATGTCAAAAAATATATCAGCCTTTCTAAGGATTTCGTAAGTTATATTTTTTGTGAATATCCAAAGTTCTCAAAAAGTGTCTTAACGGTTTTTCAAGATTATAGAGAACTTTCCAAAAAATTTTCAACAAAGTTATCAATCTTCAAGGATTTTCTACTTTCTCCTAAGCTTTTCAGATGTTTTTATGAGCATGAAAAATTGTCAAAAAGTGTCTAAACATTTTCTAGGAATTTTTAAACATTTCCAGGAAATGTTTTAAAGATGTCAAAAAATATGTCAGCCTTTCTAAAAATTTCCTAAGTCAGTTACATATTTTTATGTAACTAACTTAGGAAAATATATAAAACTAAATATTTTTATGAATACTCAGAAGTCGTCAAAATGTGTCTAAACTTATTTTAATAATTTATAAAACGTCTAGAGGATTTCCAAGAATATCAATACCATTCAGGAGTTTTCTAAGGATTTCCTAAGCTATCCAAAGTTGTCCAAAACAGCTCAAAAATTATATAACGTTTTCTAAAAATTTATAAACATTCTTAGAGAATTTTCAAAGATATCAAAAAATAGAAAAAGCTTTCTAAGGATTTCCTAAATTAGCCAGATATTTTTATGAATACTCAGAAGTTGCCAAAAAGTGTCTAAACTTATTTTAATAATTTATAAAACGACCAGAGGATTTCCAAAGATATCAAAACTAGTCAGGAGTTTTCTAAGGATTTGCCAAGCCCTCCAAAGTTGTCCAAAATTTCTCAAAAATTATCTAAACGTTTTCTAGCAATTTATAAACATTCTTAGAAAATTTTCAAAGATATCAAAAAATAGAAAAGGCTTTCTAAGGATTTCCTAAGTTAACCAGATATTTTTATGAATACTCAGAAGTTGCCAAAAAGTGTCTAAACTTATTTTAATAATTTATAAAACGTCCAGAAGATTTCCAAAGATATCAAAACTATTCAGGAGTTTTCTAAGGATTTTCCAAGCCCTCCAAAGTTGTCCAAATTTTCTAAAAAAGTATCTAAACGTTTTCTGGCAATTTACAAACATTCTTAAAGGTTTTTCAAAGATATCAAAAAATACAATGAGCTTTTTAATGATTTCCTAAGTTATCCAGATATTTTTATGAATACTCAGAAGTTGTCAAAAAGTGTCTAAACTTATCTTAATAGTTTATAGAATTGACCAGATTAATTCCAAAGATGTCAAAAGTCCTAAGGAGTTTTCTAAGGATTTCCTAAGTTATTAAGATATTTTTTGTGAATTTTGAAAAGATGTCAAAAAATGTCTAAACGTTTTTTAAGATTACGGAGACCTCTCCTTGTTGAATATTTTTAACAAGTCTAACAATTTTGGGAGGTTTTCCAACATTTTTCTAAGCTTTCCAGATGTTTTTATGAACATAAAATATTGTTAAAATGTGTCTAAACAGTTTCTAGGAATTTTTAAATATTTGCAGAAGAAGTTTTAAAGTTGTCAATAAATATATGAGCCTTTCTAAGGATACCTAGTTATCAAGATATTTTGTGTGAATAACTAAAGTAAATTTCCAAAGTTAGTCTAAACTTGTTTTAAGATAACTGAGAATTTAACCTTGCCAGAGAATTTTCAACAATCTTGGGACGCTTTCCAACATTTGCCGAAGTCTTTCAGATGTTTTTATGAACATCAAAAATTGTCAAAAACTATCTAAACATTTTCCAGGATTTTTAAAATATTTTCAGAAGATGTGTTAAAGAGATTAAACAATATATGAACCTTTCTAAGGATTTCTTAAATTAACCAGATATTTTTTGTGGATATCCAAAGATGTCAAAAAGTGTCTAAACTGTTTTTAAGATTACTGAGACCTTTCCACAGAAGTTTCAAGTCTAACAATCTTGGAAAGCTTTCCAGATGTTTTCAGAAACATCCGAAATTGTCAAAAAGTATGTAAACATTTTCCAGAAACGTTTAAACTTTTGCAGAAGCTGTTTTAAAGATGTCAAAAAATATATGAGGTTTTCTAAGGATTTCTTTCATGGAATCAGGACTTTTCATGGAATTTTTAAGCATGTCTAAAACCCTCTAGAGGCACTGTAGTACCTCCCCAAGCTGTCTAAAGACAACTAATGATTTCTAAAGTTATCAAAAGATGTCAAAACTTTCTTTGGTTTGCCAAAAATTGTCCATAGGACTTTCTTTGGCACTTTCCTAAGCTGTCTAAAGACACCTAAGAAGTTTTGATGTTGATAAAAAGTGTGAAAACTTGTTTTGGGAGTTGTCAAAAATTTGTTACAGGATTTTTAATAATGTCAAAAAGTATATAGATGCTTTTTAATACTTTTCTATGCCAACCACAAATACCTATGAAATCTTTTAATAGTTAGAGCGTGTCGAAACATTTTCTGGGAATTATGACAACCTACGAAGAAATTTTAAACATGCCTAAAAGTCTTTCTAATACTTTCGTAAACTGTCAGACATCTAAAAAAAGACATCAAAAGACATCTAGGAATTTATAAAGTAAACAAAAATTGTTAAAACTTATTTTGGAAGTGGTCAAAAATTTTCTAGACTCTTTTAAAGATGTCAAAAAATATGTAGAGGGTTCCTAACACTTTCTTATGCTATCCAGAGACTTCTATGGAATCCTAAAATACTTACAGTGTGTCTAAAATTTTTTTTAATACCTTTTTAAGTTGTCTGAAGATATTTAAGGATTTTGAATGTTGTCAGAAGGTGTCAAAACTTATTTAGGAAGTTGTGAAAAATTTTCAATGATGCCAAAAAGTATGTAGAGGCTTTCTAATACTTTCGTTAACTGTCTAGATACATCTAAAAATTTCTAGTGTAATAAAAAGTTGTCAAAACTTATTTTGGGAGTTCTCAAAAATTTTCTAGACTCTTTTAAAGATGTCAAAAAATATGTAGAGGGTTCCTAACACTTTCTTATGCTATCCAGAGACTTCTATGAAATCCTAAAATACTTACAGTGTGTCTAAACATTTTGTCAATACCTTTTTAAGTTGTGTGAAGATATTTAAGGATTTTGAATGTTGTCAGAAGGTGTCAAAACTTATTTAGGAAGTTATCAAAAATTTTCAATGATGCCAAAAAGTATGTAGAGGTTTTCTAATACTTTCCTGCTGTTTAATGACATCTAAGGATTTCTAAAGTTACCAAAATGAGTCAAAACTTGTTTTGGGAGTTGTCAAAATGTTTGCAGAGGATTTTCAAAGATGCCAAAAAGTATGTAGGGACTTCTTAATACTTTTCCCTTCTTTAACTTCTTCCCAAATCCCTTTTTTATCGTAACTTTACCGAATTCTTTGAGAATACTTAATTTATTTATTAAAAAAATTTGTTTACCTTAACATATCAAGCTTCTCCTTCTGTTTATTTGATAGATTAGTCGCTTCAGATAGATCAGGTAGAGCCGGAGCAGGTGGTGGTAAAGGTGGAGCATTGGGAACCCCGAATTTCTTCATACTTTCTTGCCGAACCAACGCGTTTCTTGTAGCAGGAACGGCCTACGTTTGAAAAATGTTTATTTTTAAACCCAGTTCGAATTTATTTTTGTATTTCAAGTTGATTCATTACCTTATCAATATTATCGGGTAAATAATCCTCCCCGGCCACAGAGTTTCGTTTCAACGGCGCCAATTCGCGATCTTTAACACTGTTTAATTTCGGAATAGGAATTTTAACCTCCTTCGATTGCAAAGTGGTTTCTTTTGGGGGGACCGGTTTTAATTGGGGTTTTTGAAACGTGGTCGTTTCTTTTTTGCCATTTCCGTTTTCTTGTTGATCGGATTTAACGACTTTTCGTAATTTTGGGACTACTAATTTCGATGATTCTTCCGCGTTTTCTTTTAAGCTGTTGCGTTTGTTTAATGTCCATGGCATTGTGGGTGTTGGTAAAGGATTTGGGGTTTCTTTAACCCATGGTGGGCGACCTTTTGTGCGGGTTGTGCTTGATGAGGAATCGTTGTTTATTGGGGAGGAGTCTTTGCTTCTATCTATTGGCATGGTTTAATCTAAAAATAGATGGATTAAATTTTTTTATTATTTATTTTTTGGGAATAAGTCACAATCCAAAATAGATCTTTTCGTTATTATCCGGCTGCATTCGATTTATTTTTGATGCGATACGGCCTTGAATGCAAACGTTTTTGGCATAAATAACAATTTTCATCGTGATTTTGATCATCAAATCTTATTATTATTAAATTTTTTTTTTAATTTTATCCCAAAAATCTTTTTGTTGTTGAATCTCAAATAGAAAATGATTTCTTTTTATCTTTATTGTCCGGTTTAAAATTACCTGTGTTTAAAATAAAAAGGGGGGAAATCTCGTTATTTCACTTCTGATTCGGGTTGTTTTCCTTCGATGTTGTTGATTAACAATCGCAAATTGGGGGCACTTGAAAAAACTCCCGATATAAACCACTTTACGGAAAACGCACGCTAAAATGGCTACTCGCACTTAAAGAAGAGGCGTCTATTTTTGGATTGGGACGTCGTCGTCGACGACGCTCGGCGTCGGAATCCCAAACTAGTGAAATTTCTCGCTCGGTTTTCTCCTCGATGAAATTTAGAAAACGATTTTAATCTATTTTCTTTTTAATTTAGAATTAAAATTAAAAAAATAATAATTTTCTATGAATTATTATGGGTTTATAAAAAATTTGACAATTCTAAATTTGGGATAAATTTATTTAGAAGAACTTAAGTTGATATTGCGCCAAAACGAAAGTAAATTTTGTGAGTGTTGCCAAGAAATAAAGTGTTTTATTGAAACTAAATTGTTAGTTAGATTACAATAACTAATTTATAAAGTCATTAATCAAAACTTAATTAAATCGCTACTGAGTACTGGAGAATTTTAAATTTTAAAGCTAGCTGATTATTAAACGTAGTTGTGGATAAAATCAGGAAGTGTTGGTCATTGTAATATAATAGAAAAAGAAAAATAGAATGAGACTTGTTAAGCACTTATCTTTTCTTTTATTGTCTTTAATGATGATGTAAAGAGTTTTCAAAAAGGTGCCTTCAGAACGCAATGCAATACTTGAATTATATACTTTTTGCAGAACATCGTACATTGATTGCACATGATTAGATGCTGCCTGCAGAAGACTAGATATTGCTTGCAGAACACTATACAGGGTGTCTCACGTAACTGGTTCGTTAGAACTTTTTAAGGTTCCACTATTCGTAGTGGTTTGAATTTTGGTAGCATGGGTTGTTCATTCTAAACTTTCGATCTAAAATATTTTCAAGATGGCCACCCCTTCCGGTCTACCGGAAGTAGACCACAAATTCGTTATTTTAAATGGAATGCTATAGTTTTTATTACACCTTTCAATTATACGTAAAAAAATATGTTGACTTTGATAAAAGTTGTTGGTACCTAGCGTTTTTTGTTTTCGAGTTATTTTGATTTTAAGTGTTTTTTGACAAATTTCACCATGGTCTTTAAAAGCCCATATCTCAGCTAACGATCATTCAAAAAAGCTCTGCATTGGCACGACTACTCTACAGATGCTGCCAAATAGATTGTCATTTGTTGTATCAGAGAATCTTATACAGGCTGGTCAAAAATTGAATTATCGTTTCTCAATATTCAATTGCGAGAAAGTCGAAAATTTTAAATGGAACACCCCATATTTCTTTACCCTATCAGAAAGGGAATTTAATTCTCTACAAATTATCTATAAACATTCCTATACCTATTTATTGTAGTTTCCCTGATATTGGAAAATTAATCAAAATCAGACATAGAATCCCAAAGCCCGTTTGTGTTTTTGTTAGCAGGCCAAGACATTTTGACAGTTCATCGTTTAATTTATTTAAATTATTATTGGTATTATTTCTACAATTAACTATGGTTGAATAACCTTTAGCTTGCTCGCTTTTATTTACCAAAAATAACCAACAGAAAAACGAATAAATGAAACAATGAAAAACAACAATTTAATAACAGAAATTAGAATGAATAACATATAAAAAAACAAAAACTTAAAATTATAAAAAAATTAAAACTGTTCGATATGCTGACCATTCACCATTAAACATTTTTCAACTCTTCTTTCGACTTCTACGGTTGTGGCCCGTAGAAGTTGGTCGCCATCAATAGTACGTAGTGCACGCATCACTCTATCACGCAACTCTTGTCGTGTGTTGATCGGTGAATTGTACACTTGATTTTTTAAGTGACCCCACAAATAAAAATCCAATGGTGTTAAATCTGGAGATCGTGGAGGCCATTGCCATGAATATAAAACAAATTTAAAATATCGGCGTTGGAATAATTTGCCATGATATACAATGACTTTCACTCGTGATCAAAAGTAAGTAACAACAACAATAACACAAATATGGACCAAAAACTGTCAAAATTCCATTGCCTTCTAATAAAAAAATCAAACGTTTTCCCGCATTCCGTGCATGCTTTGATTAATGTCCCAATATCAGGGAAACTACAATAAATAGGTATAGGAATGTTTATAGATAATTTGTAGAGAATTAAATTTCCTTTCTGATAGGGTAAAAAAATACGGGGTATTCCATTTAAAATTTTCGACTTTCTAGCCATTGAATATGGAGAAACGGTAATTCAATTTTTGACCACCCTGTATAAGATACTCTGATACAAGAAATGACAATCTATTTGGCAACATCTGAACAGTAATCGTGCCAATTTAGAGGTTTTTTTTAATGAACGTTAACTGAGATATAGGCTTTTAAAGAGCATGGTGAAATTTGTCAAAAAAAGCTTAAAATCAAAATAACTCGAAAACAAAAAATGGTAGGTACCAACAACTTTTATCAAAGTCAACATATTTTTTTATGTATAATTGAAAGTTGTAATAAAAACTATAGCATTCCATTTAAAATAACGAAGTTGTGGTCTACTTCCGGTAGACCGGAAGTGGTGGCCATCTTGAAAATATTTTAGATTGAAAGTTTAGAATGAACAACCCATGCTACCAAAATTTCAAACCTCTACGAATAGTGGAACCTAAAAAAGTTCTAACGAACCAGTTATGTGAGACATCCTATGTATTGGAAAGGAATAGATATTGCTTGCAAAACACTAGGCATTGCTTGCAGAGGATTAAATATTGCTTCCAGACTAGTAAATATTACTTGCAGAACACGAGATATTGGAGAAGAATAGATATTGTTTGGAGAAAACTTGATATTATTTGCAGAAGACTAGATGTTGCTTACAGAAGACTAGATATTGTTTGTAGAAGGCTAAATATTGCTTAAAGAAGACAAGATATTGTTTGCAGAAGACTACTATCGGTCCCAAAAGTCAAGGCCCCTCACTTTAGAGATTGATATCTTCTCAACCGCTCAATAAAAAAAAATTGCGTCAAAGTTTGTTGTAATAATATAATATAATATCAGTTTATTTGCTTGTAAAGACAATATAAAACGTCGGAGATAAAAACCATAGGGTAACATCATTGCCCCTAGCAAGTTCTCTCAGGTTGCTGGTACTCTCTGATTAGTGCGGAGTCACACGTATAGGCCTGAATTGCCTTTCAGGCGGCCCGACTGTCTGTGAAAATCATCGAGATATACTATGTTTAGTGGAGTGCGTGCTTTGAGCTAGAAAACGAGCCGGCCTCCCGCACCCCATAATGGCAAAAAGCTTCAACGTAACATACGTAAAATTTATTTATTTTTTTTTTTTTCCTAACTATAATAACTTAAATATGTATTATTTGGTATTTTTCATCATTATTGAATAACATTATTTGAATTACTTAGTAAATACTGAATAAATTCATGCTGAATTATATCCATTAGTTAGTACTATTTGTATTTCTTGCCGTTATAGGGTGTTCCCCATGCTGGCGAATCGGACCGTTTTTTCGACCAAGCGAATATCGTGAGCACGTACTCCAGTAAATTATATGAATTTCGATGGTGAAAATGTTTATGGATGCACCTTTTTGTCCCTTCTGTAGGTTCAAAGCGGTGCAGAAGTTTATAGCAAGAACTTCTGCTTGGAAAATTGTTATGTCCGAGCTGAGGGGCAATTTGATGTGGCTATTTTCTATGTGGCGTTATCTGCAGCGATGACCTATTTTTGTGATTTTTGAAAAAAAGTTAAATAGAATGGTACTACTTACTCCACATATCCTTAGTCACCATAAAATTTGCTAAATATTAGTGAAAACCGCATCTCGATATCGCCGTCCGTTCTCGAATTATAGAAGAAAACGTTAAAAATTCGGGTTTCATCAATTAGATCTAATCACCTTATCGAGAAAAACAACATAGCTATGGTAACTATGGTAACTAGTTGAAAACATTGCGCTTTGACAACTGTCAAAACTTAATTCAAATAGTAATTGTCGGTTACATTTATTTTGTTTTACAATCATGTCTTTTACTAACGTAGAAGCGTATGATATGTTACGTTGATTTTATACGAATTTTTAAAACTTAATCGGCGAAAATTGCAAAATTTTAAAAAATTCTCGATCATTTCAAAAATTTATTTCTCAAGAACTGAAAGTGATTTTTCAAAACGGTTTTTTGCATTAAAAAGAGGATACTTTAATTAATAATT